GGGAGCAAGGGAGGTTTGCAAGGATGTTTACACGTGAGATTGGCCTTGCTGAAACAAGCAACCTGAAACATGCACTTTATCACACCCCCTTTTATTTCCAGCACCCACCCCAGCCGCTAGCACAGCCGCTCGTGGGCCTGGTGCCGCCTGGGCAGAGCCGCGTGTGCCGTGGGCCAAAATCCCAGAGCCTCTGCTCAGCCTGCATCCAACCGGGCACGGCAGGCTCAGGGCCGTGGGATTTTTGCCTTAGTTATCACTCGCACTCAAAGAATTAACGACTAAATGAATCTTCTTATTCAGGTGAACTCCTGTTCATTTACCTCGGTGACAGCTACGTCCTGTGTTTTTGGGATCCCTTTGGAATTGAGGGTTGCTGGCGGGTTTGGTTCCCCCCTGGGTGCTGATGAGAGAAGTTGGGCTCCAGCACCAGCGCTCAGTGACAACGTGAGGCTTTCCAGCACACAAGCACCCGTGTGCTAGCACTCTCTCCCTTCATATCTAGACATACAGGTGTGTGTTTGTAATATACATATATATATGTATGTATGTGTGTATCTCTATCTACAGGCCACACAATTCCAGACCTCTGAAAACACAGGCAGCTTTAATTAATAAAGTCTTGCACTTTTAGCATATTTGTACATATAAGCTAAAGCCTGGTGGGTGCAATCAGGCTGGTTTGACAAACACAGCGAAAAATTGACTGTATATATTGTAACATACTCTGTGTAAAAGAAGAAAAATCTTAGAAGTGACTATAAATCTTGGTTTATTTTATATGCTGTCAAATATAGATACATTTATAAATGTTATTATTCTTAAAAGTATTTTGTAATGGGAAAAAGAAAGTGTCTTATGAAGAGTAAAGATTTTATTCTTGTCTTGAATCTATGTCGCTGCACAGCTCTGTTGGATGGGAACCTGTGCATTTTGAGAAGCTTTAAACAGATTATACATGGTATTTTCAAAAAAAAAAAAGAAAAAAAAAAAAAGAAAAAAAGAACAAAGAAAGAAAAGGAAGAAAGAAAGAGAAAGAAATAAAAGCATACCTGTAAGACCTCTTACACAACTGTGCTGTTGTTTTTCCCAGGCAATACGGGTCGGATGGAGGGCCGGACTCTGCTCCTTGCTCTGCAGGAGTGCAGGAGCTGTACTGCACACAAGTGCACAGTAGGGGAGGGATGGGGCTCAAGCCAGAGACTGGGATCTGACCACTGCCAGAGGCAGAGCATGAGCCAGGAAGAACAGGGCATCAGAGCCACCACGGCACGCCATCCGTGGCTTCATTTGGATGCAGAAATGAGTAATGCCACTCTTCCTGGACTAACTCAGCAGCCATCCGGGCATGGAAGCAAGCTCAGGTTGTGCACAGGGCTGAACTGGCCCCAGCCTGCAAAACCTGGATCCGCTCTTTTCCTCACCCTTAGGGGAGGTCAAAGGCCTAGTGTGCTTTTTCTATGGCTCAGTCCTTGCTACGAATGTCTTTAACATAACTGATGCTTTTGAACAAACTTCCGAAGCAGGCTATCATGGGAAAGAACAGTGCTTCAAACAGATTACTTTTTCTTAAGTGAAACATATTTTATTTAACACCCCATTTGTCTTACAGTACTTCTACATACAACACGTTGTATAAAAAGCCAACCTGCCAACACAGATGTGTTGCCCTCTTGGTAAAGTGACAAAGCTGTAGCAAAGAAAAAAGCAAAATAGCCTATTCTTCCTGGAGACAAATTGCAGTACTTCATGTTAAGTCCAGACAGCAACTGCAGTCACAATCAAGAACCCTGGATAGTACAACCGGATGAGAAATTTCTATGAGATACAACATACAGCTACCTCTTACTTGCTATATATTAGCAAATTCTTCTTGAAAATATACTATTACATAGTCATTAGAATGAGGAACAAGTGGTTTGTCCTGGGAATGGACTGACACAGGGGGCATCTTCTGAATCGCACAGCAGCGACCATTTCTAAGTCTCAGAAAACGCCCCAGTTTTATCCCAAGCAGTTCACCCTGCGGTGGAAAAGGCCCCAGGGCCGTTCCTTGTGCTGTGTTCAGGCCCTGGGGCGACCGCTGCTGAGCGAAGCACACGGGGCAGAGCAGCTGCTCCTCATGGTGGCCGGAGCTCAGCCAGTGCCACGTGATGGGGGACACCAGGCTCAGAGGCTGCCCTGTGGGCGCAGGGCTGCGTGTGACAAAGGCATCCGATGTGCGCATCAGCGACGACGACGGCCCAAAAGGGCTGTGCAGTTTGACCAACAGCTGCTGGAACCTTGTGGCACAAATCACCGTGCCGCAGCTGCCCAGTCACACCGGTGACACCGCAGCAGACTGCAAGGTAAAAGCTGTCTGAGCAGCACTAGTGCTAGCGACCGAACACTGTGTGTGCTTTATGCTGACGGGTGCACATTCACTCAGTTCCTAAGACAGGACCACGAGATAATGGGAGCCGTTACAGAAAAAAGGACAGCTGTGAAATGACACATCTGTGCTTATTTAAGCACGCCGCTTGCTACTGATGGATAAGCTGCCCAGAGTCCAAAACCACATCTAAAAGCCTCCACGTGAGGACGTGAATGGAAGTCCCCCTGCAGGGAAGGGCTGTGAGCACGGCGGGCTGCTTCCCCACTGAGCTCTTGCAGCACAAGTGTGCCCACCCAGCGACTCCCACTGCAGTGCGATGCCATCACGGGCTCACCTTTCCAACACCAAATATATTTTAGATATATACATATTCTTAAATCACAAGCTGGTCAGCTCTCTGTAACACAGCTCTGACAGCTGGCAAGGATTACTGTGCCTCTGGTAACGGCTCTATAGTTTCTTGGATTGACTGCAATAGAAACTGGTATTTCAAGAAGTTGCTCAGTTTTGCATAACCAAACCACGTAATAACAGAGGGCCATTGGATTTTGCAGGTTCCTTCAGTACAGTCTTTCGTACTTAATTTCATCCTGCGTGTACTTCTTAAAAACATCTTGGCCCTCCACCAAAAAACGTAACTGAGTTTTAAGACTTTCACATCCCTGTGCTACGTAGCTCAGTGAACAGCCTGTACCTTTGAATGCCTCTTGAAATTTGCAGTACCCACCACGGCCCTACAGAAGCATTTTGCTTGGGTAGATGTATCTCTTTTCATGGGGCTCTGTTCATTTCAGCACAGCTGCTTACGTAAGAATTACACAGAATCACAGAATTGTAGGGGTTGGAAGGGAGCTCTAGAGATCATCGAGACCAACCCCCTGCCAAAGCAGGGTCCCTAAGGCAGGTCGCACAGGTAGGCGTGCAGGCACACTGAGCAAACCTCATCTGAGCACATCCTAGACCAGAACATCAGTTACCATCTGCTCCGTGCTCCTAAAACAGCATCAGGAAAACATCGACACAGCGTTGCCCTGGTTTGCCTCAGAAACATACATACAAATAAGTCAGTTTGTGTATTTTACGCACCAATACACAGACCAGCAGTATGCTGTATCAGGTGGGGCTGCTCTCCATGAAGGTTTCTGAAAAAATCTTCATCATTTTTCACAAATATTTTTTTGGAGTTACTGCTTGCTCAATAAAACTGATACCTGAGAGTATAGGGGAGAGGAAGTCGTTCATACATTCATTATTCCAGATCAAAACTGCATTCTTTAGAAGCAGCACAAGAACTTTAACACCAATTTGCAATGGTGGCATTTCAACGAATGCTTGTAACATGAAAGTCAGTTGTTCCTCATTCCTTTTAGTAGTGCAAGAAAAGCAACCAATAGTGAATGATGCCATCCCCATTCTGCTTCTTTACAAAACATGCACAGTATAAAAATAATGCTGCTCTGCAGAGAGAGCTTGTCATACAGACTTTAAAAACAGCTCTTTTGAACCAGTTTATTTAATGTCGTTAAAATACAGACTCTTCCCATCTTTGTGTAAACCCTTTGTAGCACAAGCTACCTCAGGTTCAATGTCAAATTCCACCAGGAAAGCACCGGCAGAGCTTTCTTCCCCAGCATCTTCACTACATCATTTTTATGCATATAAAAAATTTCACTTGAGGTTCACAGTTTGTTGTTGCCACGAATCCTGGCAGACAGAAAATATTACAGCAGCAATAAACCAGAGAGCTGTAGAAAAGAATTCATTATCACTTGGTTGGGGTGTGGACCCAGCATAGGCAAAGGAGCAACTGCAGTCTGTCCCTAACAGTGCCAAGGTCAGCATTCAGCTTATCTGGTAAGCAGCTAAGGATGGTCTGTCCTTGGACTTTCCAAGGGCTAAATATTTCTTCACCATGCTCCTAAGATGCCAACAGTGGCTCTTACAAGATTAGTGACAACCACCATGGGATCAGCCACTGCTCTCCCTTTGTTTCAGCAATCTATTCCAGCCTTTGCATCTGCCTGCAACCTTGTAGCCATTAGCCTTGTAGCCAACCAAGCAGCTTGTACCATTTTTGCCTAAACTGAAAGAAGATTGATACGAAAATAGGAAGGAGATCTCAAATATAGGCTGAGCTACAAAAGCATGAAATTAGTTTTAAGGGCCACACTGCAAAAACTGAGACACAGGCCAAGAGAAGGCAGTTTGCAAAGTGACAATGAGGGGCTGAAATCTGTCACAGTGCAGGACACCAAAGCAGGGAACTGTGAGCAGGGCTGCTTTCTTCCCTAACCTGAGGCTCTTGCACCCACTATAGCTACCAGCTGAAACCTCTGTTCTTAGTCTTCACCATGTTCCTGCCCACATGCAAGTTTGGAAATAGCTAACCTGGAAGTGAACCTCTGAGCTGCTGACAATTCATTTTAAGTGGAAAATGTCCAGATAGAAGTCATGACGTTTATCACAGGAATAGAAATGAAAGTGGGGAGCACACACCATAACAGCTGTCAGTTTGTCACAGGTCACATCTAGTATTTCCTACCAATGTTGCATATTTTAATAGTATGGTAGGCAGTTTATTCTTCAGCTCCTGCTTGGATTGAAACTTACAAACAATGCAAGAAAGTGATTGTGCTTCAAACTATTTTTATTTACATGAAAGCATACGAGTAATCTGACATTTAAAGCTAAATCTTCAAACCCCATTCCCTGTGTAAACAACGTACTCAATTTCCGTAGTAACCACCTTCATCTGCCAGTGCTCTGTGTACTTCATTCAGAGTCAAAGTAAATTACACTCTAGTTCTTGCTTGAAGTTGTAAATTTTTAGCGCTCTCTATTCTAGCTTTTATCTCATGAGGTTTCTCAAAAAATCTCACAAAGGCTGGCTCGTTCAGTAAGGATGCCAGAATCTGCTCAAAGGCAAAAGACCATTCGTGGCCCTTTCGCAGACTCTGCGCTCCACTGCCTCCGGTCTGCTCAGAGCTGCCCTCCTCCCGTCCCTTCTGGGGGCTTTCAGCAGTCACCTCTGTTGTGGCAGCCAGACTTCTGACTGGTGATGTGGGACTCTGAAGCCTTCTCCCAACTTCTTCCATCTTCAGCAGGAGACTGGTAACCACTGCTATGGCGCGGTACAACAGTTCCTCCTCAGGATCTCCGTGGAATAGATTGTACAGAGTTTTTGAGAACTGGATGAACTGAGACTGAACAGATACACAGATGAGACTATTCAGAGAACAGCAACACAACTCTCCTGTTTCACTACGCACTGCAATCTCAACCCAGTGCTTGCAGCTGCTGGGCACCTGCTGCAAAAACTGCTCTACTGGCAGCATAGTCACAGGCCCTGGTAAACGTGTGTGTCTGTAAGCCCCCCTCATGCAGTCTACAGTAAGCTTTCAGTTAAAGTACTTTAAAAAACAAACAGTGTCATCATTAATGTGTAGTCTGGAATTTAAGGGATCCTAAGAAACCTTTAGAAAAATAGTAACAGAACTTCAAAAGAAACACAGAAGTGAAAAATCAGGCCCGTCATACTGCGACACAGATGGTTTTACCTGATTCATTCTTGGCAAATCCTTAATGCTTTCTTCTTTTTTAAGAAGTTCATCTTGCCATTGCTTCAGATAGGCCTGAATATCAACCTTGCCCTTCCCTATTTGACAAAAATAAATAAATAAAGTGAGCAAACAAGAACTGAGAGCTCCCCTAAGGTACAATGAGCAGAACAACTGCATCCGCCGTGTCATTCCTTCAGAGCTGTGGGTCAAGGTCAGAGTTTACTTTGCTCCCACCGCCACAGGACTACACTTACTTAACACTATAATGTCAGCACTACACTGGAGATTATGTGAATTAGTGTACTTTGTCAGCATGCACTTTCCAAGCCCTGCTCCCACAAAAGACCCCAGGATTCTCTACCTTTTTCTGGGCTGCTCTTCAAAGCATCACTTTCAAGATTATCCCCAGCAGATGAAACTAGAGTTTAGAAGAAAAAAAAAAAGAAGTTACTGCTTTGAGCAAGGAGGATCACTGCTTCACTTCCTTTTATCAAAAATTCTTTCCTTAGGGAGCAAGACTCCCAAAAGACTGTCTGCACGAAGAAACCATGTGGCAAAATCTGCATTCCTTCTGAAAAAAATAGAAGCTACCACAAGGCTGGAGACAGCAAAAAGCCACCATCAGCCATATCAAGTAGATAACCTCCAGAATGCTTTACGCTCGACGCGTTGAACAGTGCTGAGGACAGGACCAACGTGCTATGGATAAAACTTTTGGATAGTTTCTAAACATCAAATAGAGTCTTTCTTAAAAAGATGTACAACCAAACAGTTTTCCAACTGCGTAAATTTAAATCCCATATTTTATTATTTTTTTTTCAACTGACAGGATTTAAAATATAAACAAAGAATTTTGAAACCCAGTCTCAGAGTCACCATATACTTGATTATTAAATGTCTTGAAGCAGGAAATATCATCTCTTGAATGCAATGGAACTGCAATGGTCACCATTTCAACAACTGTCGTAACAGAAAGGCTTCCTACTATGCTGAAAAATGCTGACCAAAGATATTCCTCTATTTCAAATAAACACTTGCAGCCTTTGAATTCATTCATCAGGCATACCCCATTCAGGACAGAGCATCACTACTCTGTGTGCAGCTGCCAATGAAATGGCCCCTAAACGATGCTCATAATGAAGCCACATGCTGCTACAGAAGAAAGCTGCTCTGAAGAGAGATGGCTACCCACAAATTCTGCACTGCTTTGTACGACAACAGAGCTATTTACAGAACATCTATGCAGAAGATTCTTGCTATCAGTAACATGATTTGCTGGAACAGGTGAATTCAAACCTGATTTCAGAGGGTTTCAGAAGAAAACTCCCCATTTTTCACCACGAGATAATTAACAGAATCCTTCCAATATTCTGTAGGCGAAGTCACACACTTACCACTGAGTTGACTGAAGTGGATCAGTTCTTCTTTTGAAAGATCAACGCCTTTGGAAGGGCTTAGAGATTCCACTTCAGTAAAAGCTGCAATAAAGAATTGAATAAAGTGGTTTTGGAACTCCTAACCATTGCCAAAGGAGGGAGAAAAAGCAAAAGCTTTAGACTCATATATCATCCCTACGAACAAAACAGGAATGGTGTCTGAATGTATTAAGTACTTCCCAAAGTGTACACTACCCTGCAAAAAATATTACAGCTACAGGACTGTACTGCAGCCAGAGCTACTGACTGCAGGAGGAAAGAAAAGCTAAAGAAACAAAACCAACCAAACAAAAATGCCAGCAGCAGCCTCTTACTCACCTGGAGGGATGTGCAACTTAAAAAGAAGCTTGAGTTTGTCAGTGAAACTTCCATTATACATGGTATCTGTTTGAGACAAGAGGAAAACAGGCTATTCAGCTGGGCCAAGATTTAAAAGACCCTCTTACCTACGCAACCACAATCCACAGACACTGGAACAGGACATGTCCTATCCTACATGGAGTGCAACTAGAGATGAAGCTTAAAGAAATACCAGCTGCAACTACGCCTAGGGTTTGCCTACACTGAGGAAAGAACGTGACAACATTTGAGCACACTATCCCATGAAGTATTTCTGAATACCCAGTGAAACACAAAAGCATGCTCACTAATTAGATCGCAGCACACCTGTAACAAGCTAACACTGAGGTTATAGAAGAAAGGACAGAGCACAGGATGCCTGCGACTTACTGAAATAAAACCACAGCACCAAAGAAACGTAGCATCAAAGTCTTCCCAGCATTTGCCTTTCCTATTTTTACTCCTGAGCTTTGAAAACAAGATGAAAGGAACGGAGAAGCAACTTTGAAAACTTTCAGTTCCCCAGAGGTATAAAGCACAGGTTGTCCTGCATGATCTGTGTATGAGACGGCTTACAGAGTGAGGAAGCACTGATTACCAAAACCACAAGCTCATGCCATTTTTTTAAATAGTAAAGCTGGATTTAAATATAATTTCAAATAAGAGATTACTCTCCAGAGGATTAATGTTTCAGAGAAGTTACTAATTTGTAAAGCTCTCTGTTAGCTATTTCAGTACAACTCAAGATAATCTGACCCTAAAATAAGAAGCTCCTTCAGCTCGCTACATGTGCACAAAGGCAGTAACACCCAGGACTGCTTCCAAAATGGAGCTCCCTAGTGAATGTACTGTGCATATGTGCTGTTCTCCTACCAAGCACACAGGAAAATTGTTTGAAGTTGATAAGGCCATGGCAGTTCTCATCCATCAGTCTGAATGTCCACAATGCAATGGAGTCTCTGTTTGCACAGTGCGACCAGGGGCTCAGGAGATGGCAAAGAACCCTGAATTGCTGGCAATCAATTCGATACTGCTCCAGATACGGCAGGCTGGCATCGTGGTGTTCTAAAACAGGACTATTTACATTCCAATAGCAGGAAAGAAAGTGTTCCCTCTGCAAAGGGAAGGTTATAGATATTAGATTGTATGAAGAAACAACTGCTTATCTGGGTTAAAGAAGTGGGGAGTCAACTATGTATTTTGCTTTTAAACAGACATGTAAAAAATATGACGAATCTAGCCTTCACCTCCCTTAAAGCTATTCCACACTCATTTTGTCCACCATTAAGACAGATGTTTGAGAAGTGATGTACATGGCATATTACCTTGAATAATTCATAAAGCTCGTCAAGATCATTAGGACTGAATTTTACATCCTGAGACACAACACGAAGCTGAAATTAAGAAAAAAATTAATGAGTAGTCTCTTTTTGGAATAAGCCCACAAAATGTGAGAGACATGAACTTAAATTATAAAAACAGTTTGAGTATTCCAGGTTTTGGCATGTTAGAATCAGCAGTAAGAACAGAATTGCTTCTTAAAAGCAATTAGAGGGTGATCAGAAGGAGATGAATGGGAAAAATAATTTCTCCCTAAAAAGGGAACTGCATCATTTGCATACATGGAGCCTATGCTGTGAAACCCAAGAGATACAATTTGAATGTTAGACTATTTATAATGAACACAGCTTTCTTTATAGTGGACAAATGCACATTCAGCCCTTACCTGTGAAGCTGAATCCCCATTTTTAAATAGTGAAGAAAAAAAAAAACACAACAGGACATTCAAACATGACCAGTATCCATCTTCACAAGAGGTATGTTTTGTGAAATGAAATACAACAATTAACAGCTTAGCTCAATATACACTGAGCTACAAGCCACATCCACTACTGATAAAAGCACTGCTTGCTAAGTAGGCAACTATTATTACCAGTTACTGCAAATAAGGCAATGAAAAAAGCAGACAAACCAGGGAAGTACCCTGCAACCCCTACCTTCATTCAGGAGCCTGAAATAAAAGAACAGTGCTGGTAGCTGAAGAGCTGCCACACCAAGCATGCATTACCACACACCCACACACATCACAGACACAAGAAGCAATACATGGTGAATGCTGACAATAATGCAGTGCAATAATCTCTTTGGTGACATTTGGGATGGCTTCCACAAGAAAAAATGCAAGTAATTAATTGCCTTACTGTAGCACTACGTCTCAAAGAGAAACGCATGAGCAATTTAAGAACAGCAGAAAGAAATATAGGGCAGCCTGTTCCCATAGATGCAAAATGTCTAAGTTATGCCAGCTTTTAGAAGCTGTATGTGATTATGGCATTTGTAATGAGAGCAGAAGGTCATGCTGTGATTCAAAGACTGAAAACATCACAACCCAAACCTCAGCTAACAGACACCCTGCAGACAAGAGGGATTTCAGCCTATTAATGACTTATTTGGCTTTGGAAATTGTAGCTGTTCTTAAGATTTTCCAAAAAGGAAGAAAGGGTTTTGTTCTTCAAGTCGCTCACCACATTCTGCTTGGTTGTGGCTTCTAATGTCTGGATCACATAAAGCCTGTTTCTGCAGCGCATGCTCTCAACATCTTCATACCGAATATCTCCATATCTCTGTGAAGAAAAATACAGTTCTATGAAATCGACTGCTGTTAGATACATCTAAGGTATTTTTTGTCTTTTTCTGCAGCAAAATACAAGTGTGGATGCACAAGAAGACCACAGAAACTGAGCAAAGAATCACATCAAGACTCTCAATAAACAGTGCAATTTTAAAAAAGAAAGTGTTTAAAAGACTGGTGAAGGAAAAGAAACTGCAGTTCGCTGTATGGGAAGACAAAGTCTAATGCATATGTTGTCAGGCTTGAAGTTCACTTTAGTGAACTCTAGGTGGAGGAGAAACCTACCTACAAATGGATTAATCCCCGATCTAAAACTGAGGACAGAACGAGCAGGAGAAGCTAGATCCATATCCTCCCCAGTATTACAAAGTCTAGACACTGCAAGAATCAAAGCAGCACACTGAAAGGAAATGCTAGAAGATCCTAACTGATCCTCCTCACCCAGTGCATCCCAAAACATCCATTTCACAAGTACACTAAGCTAATTATGTACAGTTTCCTGCAGCAGCCATTGTGTCAGATGTTACCACCATCTGCAGCAGAAAGCAATCAGCCTCAAACGAGCAAACACCACTGCTGTTTCTCCTGTGCTTTGTCACTGAGCTGACATACTCCTATCAGACTGAATGATGACAATACATGACCTGTGATGAGTCCAGGGAAGTCCATTCAGGGCAGCCTAGTAAGCACACTCTAAGGCAGTTAAAGAAGCAAAAAATACAAAACCAAATCTATGTTATAACATTTATGGCTGTCAGCAAGCCTCAGCAAAATGCACACCATAATCCCTACCACTCTAAAGAGGTTTCCTACGCTAGTTTGAACAACATAGCCTGCACAACATAAACACTGTGTGGGGTGCAAAAACATACCCACAAGCACACATACTTCATTTGACTCTCGGATCAAGTCAGTAATGTCCACTTTTGGGTGATCACCCTTTGCATCACTGAGGTTGGAGCCCTGCTGCACAGCTGGAGGCAAAGGACTGTCTTTGTTGGTGACGCTGTCAAAAAACCTGCGTGAAGCAAACACATGAGAAATCAGCAGGAAGCAGATTATCACAACAAAATGGTAACGTCAGCATCTACCAAAAAAACATGAGCATAAATAGCAAATCAACACCAATGTGCAAAAGTAGCAAAGAATATCAGCACGAACAGCACAAATCTGATGTAGCGGTAGTACAGATAGCAAACACAGGAACCCACAACCCAGAGAAGGCTGTATAGCCTTGAAATTTTCAAGGCACAGCTAGACAGTAGCACAGCTGATGTGACCCAGTGCTAACAGTAATCCTTTCTGCAGGTGGAAGGTGCACCAGAGGCTTCCGGAGTCCCCTCCACTTAACTTCTCCTGGTTGTTCTCAGTGTGCTACATAACCAGGGCAGAGGAATGGAGCCTTGTGCTGAGCTGTGACCCAGGCAGTCTTAATTCCCTCGGATACATAAGCCAAGACATGCCTGATCTGTACTATCCATCACACCTACATAACCAGGCTAAACAGCTCCAACATGGAGGTTAGCCAATTCTTTGGCCAGCCCTGAGAAACAAATGTCTATCTATGTCACTCTATGGAGTGACAGCTTCCTTTTTCTGGAGGTGACACAAACCACTGCTATCATTTTATAAATACACCAGGATGCTGCAGGCTGGATTCACTGTGCAACGGAAGTGTTGCAGCCAAGTAAAATGCTGAAAGTCAAAGTTCAACAGAAGTTCACAACAATCACCAGCATACTGGGTGGCAAGTGGAAGTGGCAGTTTACTTGGTTGAAGTGAAACAAGACTTCACTCTGCTTTTAGATTTTATAATTTAATAAATCAAAAAACTGAGTGAATGTGCTCTTACTGCTGTTGCTTTTAAGTGCCTAAACTTTAAACAAGCACAGTTATGTTTTAAAATCAGCACCAGGCTGCATGGTGTCTTAAAATGAAAACACATTTTCCTCAGTAATTCCATAGTTCCTACCCCATCCAAACATACAACGTTTAAAAATCTGGCTAAAGGGAAATTCTTATTATCACTGCATAACAATTACAACTCATGACTCAGAGCAGAGTCTCAGCACAGTGTTTCTGTTTTAACACTCCCTGACACACATCAGAGGAGCAGCAACAGCACTATTTAGGCAGCTAGTCAAGCAAAAAACCGTGCAAGTAATGCATCAATTAAGAATGCACTTGATCTGAATTTTTCTTTGTAATATAGAACAGCTATATGGTCAGAACTGTCCTCAATATCATTATTTTTTTCCCCCTATTTTCAACCATTAGCAGCAAAGGAGCCAGCAGCCAAAACTACAAGAACTGAGCTGCAGTATATTTTTTTACCAAGTGAATGTCTGAACTGTTTGGAACAGTCTTAGTGTTCTCTAGACTAGCTGGTTATCACAAAAAGTCATCTTTTAGTTAAAAATAATAATAAAAACAGTTTTTACTTTAAAACACATGAAATCGCAGTGGTTCTAGCAGAACTTTAAAGGAGGATGGGCTTTTCAGAGTACTGAGGCATATTTCCCAACCATCCCTTCCAGAATTTCAACCCGAGACAGGCATTTAGTTACTCTGAAGCCTTCAGAATTCTTGGCCAGATGTGTCCCCACTGCCCCATGACACTTCTATTTGCACTTACAGCAGCTGCTACGCTGTCTTTAAGAACAAGGCATGCACTGATACCTGTTGAGAACAGTCACTGCTTCTGCATCATCCTTACAAGTCAGCAACTTATCCATGTTGTAGTCCAGCACTGCAAGTCCCAGCTGCAAGATTGCCTTTATTCCATCATAGAAGAAACAGTCCACCACATTGACTGCACTTTCAATAGGCAGCACACTGATAAAAAGGGTAAGGAACCAGGAGAGAGAGACCGAGGAGAAAAAAGTCATGCCCATCATGTGGTCTGTCAACTGAGGCAGATGAACTCTGATGAGCTCCTCAAACACTGCCTGATCTACCAAGGCACCTGCAGGGAGAGGATAACAAAACCACCACCCATATCTTAATAAAGAGAAGTGTATTTTTCTCACTAGCCAGAAATCAAGCTCCTATCCAAATGCAATTTGTTGTAAAAGCAAGCACAGACCTAGCTGCACAGCACCACTGTCTCCATTCCCTGTGATGGAAGCTATGCACTCTACACATGGACTTCTGCATTCCGTAAAGTGTGCTGGCACTCCTGCATGTGCATGGCTACTGCCACTGATTCCCCTGTCAGCCGATGTATCCTCTCTGCAATGAGAGAGAAACCTCACAAGCAATTTTCTTCTAGCATATATATCTGCAAGCTTTAGTACTAGGCTAAGTCTGCTTCTGGAACACTCAGTTTCTTTTATTTCAGCTGGCTAAGTTCCAATAGATGGCACGAATTGCAGCTATAATTGCAATAGAACTGTGTAATAGTCTAAGAAAATATTTCTGGAGTAGTTATCCGTAGGATAACGACAATATTTGAAAAATCACATCTGCTCTCTCTTAAGAAGGGCCTTGGGATGTTCTCTGTCTCTTCCCATTTTCTACTTTACAATACTGAACCAAGGACCACAGTTTCTCTGGACTAGTTAGGTTCCAGCTCACTCCTTACATTTGTTCTCAAGGACTGATCATCATATTGAGCTCTAGATAGATTACAAGGCAGACTGATGTTACCAATGATTCGACGATTGAAATAATCAGGTAGCATCCTTTCACACACAGCAACCAGCAGCCAGAACGCTTCCTCCTCCTTAGCATACAGCAGAAGTACTGATGTCAGTATGTTCATTGCCTGTAAACATTTAAACAAGAAAGGAAACGTGTATGAGGAAAGAGGGTGAAATCCCAACTGTATCATCATTTGTTAAAGTTATATTTCTGAAGGCCTTTTACACCACGTGTTTAGAGTTCTAGGATAACCTGCTGCCCTATTAGGTATAAGGATTCAACATTTATATTCAGAGCATAGTATTTAAACTACATAAAAATGTTATTAAGTTTTAAAAGTCTAGTAGAAATGCAGGCACAAGTGCAATGGAGATAGCAGTGTTTAACAACAAATTCAAGTACAACACAAAAGCTCACGTGACATGCTGGGATGAAGTAAGTAATGCACAGGAACAAAAATAAACCGTTAGGTATTTCTGTGACTGATTTCATGAGATGCACTCTACTGCCATGATGAACTCATGTTGAGGCTCTCCAAACTACAATACCTGACAGTATCCAATCTGAGGATTCCTGTATGCATAAGCTGTAAGAACTCTCCGGAGGGCAGAGATTCCTGTGTCGCTTTGAAAGGCAGGATGCTCAGGTAAGGAGCGACGCAGATCCCGTTCGATTTCATCAGTAGCTAAAGTGCATGTTCCCAAGGACCTCTCCACCAACTCAGTGTAATAACCAGGGCTGGAGGCCATGTCGTTGACAGCACCTGACAATAAGTATTACTGAACAGCATTAGAGGACAAAACTAAAGCATCTATGCCATTTTCTGCAATCTGTAAAAAAAACTCTGCTGACTTTTGAGATACCTCCATCTTCTTTGTGTAACATACCAGAGTAATTCTACTGAAATTAGCGGCATTCTTCTGAAATAAAAACAGAAAACAAGGCTTGGAGGAAAGTTACTTTCCATCACAAAGTTGACTTTGACTTACTTTTTTTCCTGTTTCATTAGGGGGAGAAAAGAAACAAACTTCCTTTCACCTCTGCTCTGTCACAGGTATGTTCTACAGCAGAAACTCACTAAAGTATACTCAGAGCTCTGGCAAGAGATTCCCTACGTGTATGAAAGTCCATAATTCCAGTACCTTTCACTCTCTAAACCAAGCAACAGTGTCTAACAAACAGCTACCAATACTGGAGCCAAATTCTGTTCTAGGAAAACATTTTTCTTTTGGTCTGGGAACATTATCCTCCCAGAAAGCTTCAATCCAAACAATTGAAAAACAGGCCCATAAACACACGTTGCTTCTTAGCAAGTAGAGGCACTGCAGAAACTGACTGTTCCCTTGAAGTTCACGAATAGAGCATACAGTCATTATCTTTTAGCTGAGTTTGTTGCAGAAGATGATGACGCAGGTTTAGTTTGAATCAATGCTGGATGTGTTTTAAAGGCTCTTCCTTCAGAAAGGTTTAGATAAATTGCCACAGGAAAAAGCTTTTTTTTTTTTTTCTCAGACCATGGTCAGCCAGTAACAAGAACATCCACATAATATAGTCCACAAAATGAATGCATTGTACTTGCCGTGCAGTACCTGAGAAGAGCAGCCAGAGCTCTCCTCTTAAGGCCTCTGGGATCCCTCTTACAACTAAATCTCGAGTCTTCTTTGTTCGAAACATGCTGACACCATGACCTCGTTCAAAAAAAAGGATATTCCAGGACTGTTCTTTCATTTTTTCTTTCAACTACAAAAATCAAAAAAAAAAGAAGACTATTATGTATACTGGAAGGTTTTGTTCATGTTTCAGAAAACAAGACTCTATTTTTCTCTCAGTTATATTCATGTAAACTGTAAATGGCAGCACCGGTATCAGTACTGCTATCTGAAACAAACACTGATGCAGATCAGAGCCTACTGGAGGGAACTCACTTCAGCAGGGGGGTTGTTGGACTAGATGGACAGGACAGTGCAGTTACACAGATAAATTCTACCATCATAGTTCTGATGCATTCCAAAAACACATAATGGGGAAGCAAAATTCATCATTTTATATAATTACTGTGGCAAAAAAAAAACTAGAGGCACTTGTTAAGGTTCTTTGTCAGCTATTTACACATAAATACACGTTTATATGATACACACACATAAAAATCTGATCGTAACTTGGGTCAATTTTAAGGTACTCTTATTTTTGCTTCCTGGTACATTTTCTTGGTAAACAGTAAATTAACAGAAGGAAAAAGATGAAATTGAGTATAAGCAGTAGAAAAGAAAACCAAGAAAAATAGGAGGAAGCTTCAGATTGCTTCTGTGTGGCTCCAGTTTTCTCTGCACTAGTCTGCAAGCTCTAACAAACAAGCATTTGGCCATGATGATGCAGTGCAATAAAGCAAGAGATTACTTGCATAGTCAAATCAGACTGTTACGGATATCTGCTTAATTATTCAGATAAATCAACATTCTGCAATTTCAATGTGCCTTCAAATTGTTCTTTGCTAACAGCAATGAAAATGCATTAACTCTGATACAGACAAGATAATATCCCACAGAAACTCAACAGCGAAGGCAGGCTGTTCTCCTTCCTTTCTGGCTCATCACACTTTATTGCATTACATCAGTTGACAGATTTGGAACAGGGTGGGTACAAATGGTGCAAAGCACACAGTGTTGACATGACATCAGTGCCACTGTTTTGCCACTGCTTCTAAATCTCTCCTCTGTTTTTATTTAACACAGGCTCCAAGTAGCAATGGGAAAGAACCAGTAAATCGGGAATTTGCAAAAGGAAGTCGAGTGGACTACGAAGGGGAACTGAGCACTGAAAACACACCCAGATTGGTTTCACATTTAATCAAATATTTATCAACCAGAGAGAACACTTGGCAAGCCAGCAATTACCATCAACACGCAAGACAACTGTGTATGCATCTGAACATCAACAGCACCAGCCATGTCAGTGAAACCTCCTGCAGAGGAAGAGCTGGCAAAAATTTCTTCTTTAAACATAACTGAAGTTACAACATTTTACTTGTGGAAAAAGTGGCAGCAGTGAAACAGGTCCTTTGTAAGGTACAACATTTCTAATAACCACTGAGTGTGCTCCAAAAGAGCAATTCAATTAATCTAATGTAAAACAACTGATCATCAGTGGTTGCAGCCCATGAGAGACTCCAGTGCTCAGACACTCTGTATTTTCTACCCTTGCAGCAGTGATATTTAATATTGTTAAAGCAATTAAAGGCAAGATGCAGAAAGGAAAAGTAAATTTTGCCACTTCTTTCCTCTGGACTATAAAAAGTAGAATTTTAAAATGTTTTACTTTTATTCCTACTAAAGGAGTGCTTATTTTCTGATATTCTAATTATATATAATTCTAAATTATTTTCTGATATTTCTATTATCATAAGTTCCACATCTGAATATTTGTCTAATTTTGCTGAAAGGCTAATTTTAAAATGAAACTCTTCTGTCCTCTTGTACACACCATGGAGAAGCAAAAATAGTACATCTTACTGAAAAAAAAAAAAAAAAATTAAAAAAAAATACATTGAGAGAGTAATTTTGATAGACGGATGCATAAAAGAATGAAGCAATTAAGAAATCAATCAAGTTTCCTGACAACATTCCCCTTGTTCCTGAAGAGTTTGTAGTGACTTTGTACCTTGACAATTCAGACAGATCTGAAACATGTTCACTATCTCAAAGAAACAGCCAGTTCTTCCCTGAGGGGCTGGAAGAGCAGGAGGAATTAGCTCTAGGAAGATGAGGCACATTGTTATTAAACAAGTTGAGCAGAAAATTGAATAGAGCCATGAAGAACCTCGTGGAAAATACTGGACATGGAGATGAAAGAAGACTGGCAAAGCTGCAGAGGAATCCAGCAGCCTTGCTGGAGTATGTTTTGAATGTGCTTAAGTCTTTTCCAGTTAGATTCCAAAAACTGTTGGCCACTTTATCCCTTACCATTTTAGGGTCTAGATTCTCGGCATCCTGAGGATGGTAGACAGTCATTAGGGCTTCTGTACTGACAGTTTTGGTGTTATCCCTCAGATCTATCTTTGATGGCATCTCATCAAAATCCTTTGGACTGTCAGAAGCAGAACTACCTGCAACCTTAACAAATAATTAAATAGATATTAGCAATGGTAGTGATAAACACCAAACAATCCTTCAAGAAGCAGCACTCATAGCAGAAACCATTTTGCTTCCAGACCATCCTTGTTTATCAGATTAGTTTACAGGTACCAGATTTACTAAAATGTAGACTGGCATACAATTCTTGGATGGACGAACAGACTTCCAAAATAAATGAATAGAAAGCAGTCCCCATTCTGAACAGGCAGGCTTCAAGAGGCTACTCTTGTAAAATTCATCTCTACAACCAAAAACTTAACGATGAAAGGACAACTATTAATCATGAAAAACAGTAATAGGCAGAGACCTGATCATCAACCAAGTCAAAAGAACACCATTAATTTCAATGGAGCCACATACAGAACTACACAGAAACGCTGAGAGCATTAAACAGCATTAAAACAGCATTAGAACCTGGATGCTTTTCAAAACCTGATGGAAACAATATAAGAGAACCCAAAAAATAATGCATTTAACAACAACATCATTGCTCACATGCTCTCTTACTCATGGGCATTGAAATATTTATTTTTCCACACCTTAAACCCAGAGCTACAGAACTTAGTGTGCTAGGCCAAAACAATGCAGATATTACCCAAAAGAGGGTGTTCAAATTGGGAATTCCCTTGAGAAGCAGACTTGAACTCTCAGCTCTCCCAGGGCTGTGCTGTACACTTGCCAACTGAGCATTTCTGCTGATATCAAACTGTCTTGTTTTTATTATTCATTTGTATCTTTTAACTCTTAAGAAGCACAATCTGAACACCGAGACACACTGATATTCAGTCTGATACACTGATTGATTTCTACCAAAAGGCATTCAGTTGTACACTTGTACACACAACTGTCATTCTTGATGCTGCTCCAGCTGATTCTAATTTTCTCAATAGAAAATCTTCTGAGAAGAGATACAGGAGCTCTAATAAGTAATGCTTTTTAGGGCTGCCTGGTCGTGTTTTCTTATTTCTCATGCATTAAACTAAGTACAGATTTCTTCACATCCAGAAGTAACCTTGTAATTATTCCATCCCCTTTCTGAGTCAAATAGTCAGCTGACCGAAAAAAAGGCACAGTGAAACATAACTTTCTGTCAGACTGATGGGCTTCAGTTTTAAAGTAAAGGGGCTGAAGGCAAGAAATGGGAACACAATTTAAAAAACAGAAAAAGAGACAACTTGTTATCCAGAGGTGCAGAAGACCCTCTCTGTCTAGATTCAGACTTAAATAGTGCATGGCATCAAGAACAGGTAACTATACATTAAATTCTTAGTGAGACTAGACAAACTTATTTCTAAGAGTAGCTAATGAGAAACTAGAGTTGGCTGAAGACTTACCTCTGTATTTATATGCTGTGGACTTGAAGTTGCATTGCATTTGATTCTGAGCTTTGTGACAAGCTGTTCAAAATCCCTAACTTCAGTGAAACGAAAAGCTCTTTTTCCTTTGGTACTAATGTTGACTCCTCTGTTGGCTGGGTCAGCCTTATCCACACCTATCACCTAGGGAGACAAGGCTGCATTAACGAGGCAAGCCATCCCAATACATTTTACCACCTTGTTTCCAAAAGAAAAAGCTATTAAAAATACACACGTACATGGAACAGCAGTAGGAAGCACCACACAAACAGAATAAGTAATGTAAGTAATGAACTGGCTATGTTACAGCTTAGAGGTCTGGAGCTGTTTTAATACACGGCAGTGTCATGCCACAGGCTTTCTACCAGGTACTGAACATCTCTGAAAAGGTTTTTCTCAGCAGAAAGCATGGAGCATACTTGGAAATCTTGCCGCCTCCGACCTGCTGGAGCTGTTACTTTTTTCCTGCCATCAAAAAGACAGACAAGTAATGAAACGAATCAAGTTCCATGAGAACAAATTCCAGCTGTCATAATATGTGATGGCTGGAGCTGATTTTAATTGCTATTGTGAAAGAGCTACGTGTTAGAGTACTTAATACACCTTAATAATGCACATAACTGTAAGATAATCATGAATGTGTAGAGCAGCTGTCACTGCTGATGTTTTTACATTGTTACAGAAAAGGAAAGGAAGACAGACTAAATGAAAGAACTCTGTGGTACTGCAGAACAAACAGTGAGGGCCTGACAAACAACAAGAACATAATTAGTCAGCTCCTTTAACAGTCTCTTTTTTTTTCCCCCCCACAACATATGGATGTTGACACTGTTAGCAAGACTGTTTACAGACTGGTTAATTGTAGCACATATCTGGTGCTGCTGAAAAATCTCCAAAAAAACCTTAAAAATTCTCTAACAGCAGAAATGTGGCAATGTCACAGACCACACGAAATCAGGGAGATGGAGAAGGCTTTTTTTTTTCTTAGATATGACTCCACAGTCTATCTGTAGAACATACAGAACGAGTAAAAGCTGTCCTTCATAATACAATCCTTGTTCAGTTTGTTCAGACTACCAGCTGGTGCTGGTATTTGTTCACTGAAGAACGTCAATGGATTTTCCTACAGATGTTTGAACAGACAGCACTTCTCAACTACTGCAAAAAGATGAATGGCACTACAGAGCTAAGGAAGAAACACAGCAGAACAACTATCTTCAAGATCCTCTAACTTTTCCAGTCATTTTTATCTCAAGAATCTTACATTAACTCAACCTCAAAAAGTAAGCTTTTTTTAATTTTTACTATTTTTTTTAATAGATGCACTATTTGAAAAATTGGATTCTGTACCCAGCTACAGAAATGAGAGTAAATGGAAATGGCAAAAATGACACAGGGGACAGTGTAGAAACATGGAAGTAGCTCTGTAAGCAGTATTACTATAAGCAGCATCAAAAGTAGAGGGAAATCATGACATCACATAAACTAAGGTTATTCTAAGGAAAAATAGATCAACTGACACTAAGCTACACAAGTGCAAATCTTCTGGTATAAGTGGCTCTGATTGTAGCTTGCATTACCTCTCTTAATGGAATGATTACACTGCACAGGCTGCCATCCTGGCTAGCAAAGCAGATGTAGTTTTCTGAAATGCACATTTTCCCATGGGCATTGTAATGAGTGAAAGGAACCCATAAGAAGCACTCGTGAACTTCCTTCAAAGTCTCTTCTTTGGGTAGCCTGAAGAATGCACTGAACTGCTGGCTGTGGGCTCGGCTCTCCAGGCCTCTGGATTAAAAAGCAAACAAAGCAGAAAATCAGGGAGGAGACAGAAGAGAAAAATGGAATATTTTTAAATATCCTGCAAAATACAAAAGTTGCAATGTCTTGTGGAAAGGCTTCTTGAAACAGTAAAATATCATGGACTCTCAATTCCACTATAGTGTCAATTGGAAGGTTCAGCATTTTGCTTGAAGAGGTAACAAAGTGCAGGAGCAGACCAGTACACACCCACTAAACAAAACACTGCAATGCTTCAGTAAATAGGAATAAATTCAGACACATTCTTGCACAGCAAAGCACTTTGCTGAATCAGGGTCTAAAGGGAGATGAAAAGAAATATACACTATTAGCCTAGTCTGCTGTGCTTTCCAACCCATCAAAATACCCCAATTATCTATGAAATTCAACCCAAACCTGGCTTTGTTGTTAGTGTTCTATACAAGGAAAGAACAATTTGACTTCTTGACTTTTTTTTTTTTTTTTTTTAATCTGTTGCATAGTTGGCTTTAACTAGGAACAAATTAAACGGAGCTACTGGAAGCCAGGCTAAGGCTGAAATGTACAGGAAGATGCTTTCTCATACTTTCCTCTTTGCACAGGTAATATTTTCCAACACAGACTTAGTTAATTAAAATTACCCAACTGTAGCCTTGGTTTCCTGGTTACTTTTCACAGTAAGTAGCCAATCAAAACCTCACAATTTAAGTTGGAATTTGGATTGCTCCTCAAGGAGAGGGCAACATTTGCATCAACTGAAACTAGAAATAAATCATAAATTTATTACAAGAAATAATCACACTTTCCTTGAGAAGGAAGGACTCCAACCATCTGTTTATTTATGCACACACCTATCTCCCTTCCTAAAACACAAACAAGGAAAACCTGCAGCTCACTGACTTTATCACCTGTCTCCAGTACAGAAAAGCCATGCAGTTACATACATATGTATTTTAAATCATTTATTCTTCTCCTTCTCACTGAGCTTCTTTGTAGACTCTGAAGCTCCATTCTTGATTTCCTATTCCCAAACACTGCTAAAACAGCTTTTAAAAATACAAACTACTATAAACTATAATTGAAGCCCAGTTCTGAAGGTTTGATCACTTCCTGCCTTCATACAGCCTTTGATACTGCAAAGTAATAAGAGGTCACAATGTCACGCAAGCCTTTGATTCCAAACTTTAACAAGATAGTTATTTAAGAGAACACCATCTTTGCCAACGTTTAGTGATCTCCCTCACACAAGAATTTTCCTCCCCTTTGTCTAAAAATGACTGAGTCCAGAACTGATGGATTATAAGCAGTTACCTCTTGGTGATCTGCAGGGGGTCATGCAGGACTAGGTCATTTTCAAATGTCTCCTTATCAAAAAGCCTCCTAACAGCATAGTTTGCCAGCTGCTCCATGAGAAGGAATGTTTCATTAATGTGCAAAAACATGGAAAAATAGTGATCTTCCCCATGGGAGCAGACATGAATGCTCTCTGTCAGAATAACATTGGAAGTCTTCTCAAGTTTTGATATTGCATCCCAGGAGATAATAAGCTTTACTGAAAATACAAATATAAGGAGATATGAGTAACTCCTCTTCAGCTGCTACCCTTGTATTAATCAAAAAAGCAGCAGCACTAGAAAGTATAATTAAACAATACTGTTAGATCACAACTCATTTGGAAATGGCTACAAATTCACACGGACAAAAAAAAAAAGACTCTCTCCACAATTCCTATCAAATAATTCCACTAGAATGATTTTTATAGAAAGAACATTAAAGACACACCATTTATCAAAATACAAGTCTGGACTGTCTTTTTTTTTTTTCTTTTTTTTTTTTTTTCTTTTTTTTGCTCTAATATGAAAATGCAAATTGTAAACTAACACTCACGTAAGCTACTCTACTTTAACAATTATCAATTAGACACCTGCTCACATGGCAAATCACTTCCTCATGACATAAGAAAAATGCTTCCACATATGAACCATATACAGTAAAACACGAAAGGACCAGCTTTAGCTTAGGCCTTACTTACTTTCTGCTCCCAGCAAAAATGAGTAAAAGCTCAGGAAGTTGGTACTAAGATAAAGCCATCCTTGACAAGGCACCCGGCCCTTCCAGTAGCTGCATGAGTAATAGGTAACCAACTTCTCCTGCTCTGGTAATCCAAAGCACCTCTCAAACTTCATAAGACCTTCACGAAACTTCTCGGGATCTTCTTCTTTTGTAAAAGAACCTTTTCCTTCCTCAGCAATCAAACCCTAAAACAAGAGAACAGTTATTTCACACACGTATCCATAAACGTGGATGTCTTATAAAAAACTGCACACATACAAAGGAGTATTCTCCTTATAGGATATTGTATTTTACAACTTGAAGAACAGTCTGAGGATCAAAACACAGGGTTACAGCTCACACATGCCACTTCAGATTCATACAGCTTTGGCATGACACACATCTTCAGGTTTCCTTATCTGAAAACAATCTATTTTCCTCACTTAATCACATGAACTTCAGGGCTAAATGTTTAGTAATTGCAAAATGAACTCTCATATACTTCCTAGGGGTTCTCAAAACTATTGTGAGATAATTTGTTATCAGTTCCAGACCACTATCTAAAGGCACGTGGTGTACCATTTACCAAGACATAATTTGTGTCGAACAACTTTATTTAACTATGTGGCAGATAAACAGTAACAATGGAGCATATTATTCACTCAGAAGTACACAATATCGTGGTGCTGTCTGCATGGAACATAAGATTTGTGTACATTTAGAAGTAAAAATACTCAATTGTGTAGGTAAGGGAAGTCGGCAAGCCGGATCCGTAACTTCGGGATAAGGATAAGCCTTTCTCAATTGTGTCATGTGCCTTCTACTTACTCTTATCTTTCCCTGGACAAAGCTTGTAATATCTTCATTTGAATCAAACACCGATAAAATGTTCATGACATTGTGTTCTAACCAGTCCCAGTGTTCTGTTATCTCTTCTCTACTGGCTCCTGATGGAAAGTAGAAAGATAGAAGTGACTTTAATTACTTCATTAAAAACATTAATCAAGAGAACATTCAGCAAATTTCAGGTTCACAGAGTAATTTATATCCACAAATCCAAATCACAGTAATGACACTGCTGTGTTTTTATCTTTCAGGCTCTTTACGCAGCTGTATTTCTAGCCATTACCCCCAGAAGCATTCCAGCTTTGTCAAGATTTTGTGGCTCAGTGCTGAAGCCAGACTGGGACTGACAGTTCCTCTGGCTCACCAGCATCACCAGCATCACCAGCACACACCCATGTTAGTATGTAGGACGCTCCCCTCGAAGGTGGGAAACACGAGATCACATTCAGAAACTTATCAGAAAATAAACATGAGCTTTTGATACGCTCAGCTTTGATCACAAAGCCACAGTAGTTCCCCCAGGAGAACTCCCAGCCTCGGATTTGCACTGGTGCACAAACACTCCTCCCAAGGGTAAGGTTGTATCACCGTACGCACCTCCGTGGCCAGGATGGTAGCAAAGATTTTTCTCTCTTTGGATACATAAAACAACCATTTCTGCTGCCTACCACAAACATTTGCTTATGCTCAGTACAAGTCATTGTTTCATCACATTCTCTATCAAGTCACATATTAATTAGATTTCTAATCGCACTAAGCACTAATGGTGCTAAGCCAAGCACCATTCAGGAAACAGCTGTCATTCCATCTATATAGTAAAGTTCTGCTTACATTCTAATTCCAAACAATGCAATGTTTTCCTGCAGTTAGAGGGTTCTAAAAGAGGACAGAAGCAGAGCTGTGCCCTAGATGGAAAGCCATATACCCCAGATCTCCTGCGCCAGGACAAAAGGCTCATTCATACCAGCTGAATGACCCCTGAAGCAGCATCTGGCACCTCCAGAATTAGTACCGTTTTTCTTCTGAACCCTATGGGACTGCACTGCTAAGGAATTAAGGAATGCCTCCTCCTCTTTCGTTACATACAAGCCAGAGGAGTAACTTAAAAATCTGCCACCACTAGCCATAAGGAACATGCAAAACATAGAGACAAGACAAAATTCAATGCTCCCAGAATGTAAATATGGCACTTGCAAATAGCTTAGAGAAAAGACGACCTCATTATGTTACTTTACTCACTTGACAGTGCTTTTTTTCTAGGTTTCAGAAGGCAATCACTTACTTCACTGTGAATGTCACTGTGATTTTACAGCAAAAAAACCCACCAACTATCTCACCTAAACTACTTAGAAACAGATTAGTGGCTTGCTTCAAATAGAAGGGAAAACTCTTACTGCTAGATACAAGCTGTGAAATGGTTATGATAATTCATCTTACTCTTTTCACATACTCGCTTTCCACGCAGGTGGAAACAGGTAATAAAGCAGAGCTTATACTAGTGAACCAACAGAAGAGGCCTAGCAAATTCAACTCCTTAAAGACAGGTGATTCTTTCCACTCCATCAGATGGGGGGATACAGAGAGAAGGAAATGGAGGGGAAGAATTTACATAGGATTCAATAAAAGGATTCTAGAACATATGTGAGTTGGTTGTTATATCCTTCCCAGGAATGCTCACAACTAAACAGTCTACAATCACATACTGTCACTACCCCAGGCAAGAACACACCATGCACAATTTCTGTTTTTTCAATTTACTTTGCAAAGACTAAATGAACAACTTTCAGTGGACTCCACAGAATTAAGGCTGCCTTAAGGGAATAAATAGAAATCGATCTAAATATTGTTAGTTAGGCTGTGCTACACATGCTGGATTTGCAATGACACTTGAAAAATGATAGAGTAATTAACGAAGCAATGAAATCAGAATGAATCCTCCCTCTTCGACTACACATTCAGAGCAATTATTTGAGTCACTCTAAGAAGCAAAGGCACAGATGTGGCACAATGAAGATGAAACTATTTCTAAACATTTAAACAATTCAGCAGTACTGTTTCAGACCCTCACTGTGTGGAAGTAGGAAAGAAAGCAATCTCCTCCTCCATTTATTCACTTCACAGAAGGAACAATGTGTTTCATAACACGAAGTATAATTACACTGTGAAGCCTTTTGTTCTAAAGTGTACTTAAGTAGCACAGAAATGACAAAAATTCAGTCCTAGGGTGAAGATTACCTTTCATGTTTTCTCAGGAGCTTACCTGATGCCATTAGAATCCTCCAGAGTGCACTTCCAACTCATTTATCAAAGCACCTTTCTTAACAGCCTGACACCATTTGTTCTGACCTCTCCAGAACAAGTCTCCAAATTTTATTTACAGCCAATGCACAAACCATTCAAATTGTATTTCATTTATAATGTTGCCCTTTCGAAGTGAGACATTATGAATTACATTAAGTCATTTAACAATTCTCTTGCTGACTACTGCTCCTCAGATGAGCCCTTGAAGAACACGAGTATGAGCTGATTAGCACTGCAGCACGAAATGCAGAAACAATCGAGCCAAACATTGAAAAGGAAACATCAGAATTTATGCAGTGGCTAATTTAATTTTAACAAACAGGAAAAGGCACAATTGCTTATTTAAGGTGAATAATGAAGGTTTATAAAGAAAACAGTACAATTCAATGCAACAAGAGCACTGCATTTACTGGTAGAATTATTCAGGCTGAGGGAGCTGGGCTTCTTCAGGCTGGAGAAGAGGAAGCTCTGGAGAGATCTCATCATAGCTTACCAGTACTTCAAAGGAGCTTATAGACAGGAGGGAGACTGACTTTGTATGCGGTCCGATCGTGACAGGACAAGGGGGAGTGGTTTTAATCTAAGAGAGGGGAGACTTAGGTTAGATGACTGGGGAAAATTATCACTCAGAGGCTGGTGAGGCAGTGGAAGACATTGCCCAGAGAATTTGTGGATTCCCCACTCCTGAAGACAGGTTGGATGGGGCCCTGGGCCCTAATTTGATGCCTGATTTAGTGGTTGTCAATCCTGCCCACAGCAAGGCATTGGGACTAGATGATCTTTATGGTCCCTTCCAACCCAAGTCATTCCATCACTTTATGATTCCTTCTATCACATAAACGTTTGCAGAGTGGCACCTCTAATTTTCCTTCAATTCTCATCTTTTACCACAGGTCTGGATGCTTGTGAGACCAGAGAAGTCTAGATAGAGACTTGGGTTTTTCACTTCTGTACAGAACACAACTAACTAAAAAAACTTAAAGCATGGAAAAAATGAACTAAAATGTGGGTTCTTATAAGTGTAACTATAGACTTTTTCACAGTTTTTAATAAACCTAAGAAATGGATTAATCCTACAACAGTTACATTTGTCATCTGACCACGTGACTATCTTAGTTTCAATATAAAGGCAAGATCATGCTGAGGAAGAAAAAACAGTGATGCATGCAAAGAACTGAGTTCTCTCAACTTTTGAAATGGAGGTCTCTCTGAATACTTGGTATTTCAGCAGTATGTGTAAGGGAATTTACATTTATTTCTCAGGGGAAGCTGCAGAATTTAAAAACAAACAATAACAACAACAACAAAATCAACCTAGTAATAACGATGCTTTAGGAAAAGCCACGTACTCCACCTTCAAGGTCAATTTTCTTTTCCATTTGCTACTGACTAATAACATAACACACAAATGAGAAAGAACCTCTTACACCCTAAGACCAACAGATATGAGGAAGAATTCAGCTGCTATCATGACAGGAAGGCTGGCTCGTTCTTAACAAAGATAAAGTAGAAAAATAAAAATCAGATAAGCAATTCCTGCTATTTATACCTATAGCTTTTATACTTAATCCCCTCAAGGGTCAACTTTTCCACATCATCCTGAACTATGCCAAATTACAGACCTCCTTTGCAGCTTAGAAAATAAAAGATTGTGCCCCTGCAATTCTGAGAGAGCATCAAGGCAGTTCCTCTGTACTATACAGACTGCTGCAAAAAAACAGGCAAGCTGACCTTATCATATGAAGGGTCCATAGGTATATTCTGAAAAACTGGAACCATAAACCACTGTCAATCTCAGGACTGAAATATCCTGAGCATCACTATATATGGGGCCCTGGGCAGCCTGGGCTGATATGAAATGTGGAGGGTGGTGGCCCTGCATGTGGCAGGGGGTTGGAGATTCATGATCCTTGAGGTCCCTTCCAACCCTGGCCATTCTGTGATTCTGTGATTCTGTGTGATTACCAAATAATTTTCAACCGTGTGAAGATCACCGGAATGAATGATGTGAGAGGATTAACCCAACCGTAAGATTCAGCCCATCCTTTGCATCCCAACTTTTCATTTTATAAACTCACTTAGCTTCTAAAAGAACAGTACATACCACACGCAATGGACCAGTAGACCTGTGAGTCCGGTGTCTGATGCAGGATGCGAAATGGGGCCACTTTTGATGTAGAATCCAATACTGCATCTAGGGTTCCCACGAGAAGACCTGAAGAAAGCACACGCAGCCTGGTAAAACTAAAGCTGTGAAATGCATACTTACCTCCCAGTTCCTTTCTTACTGAATAGGAATGTTATCCAAGTGAAGATTTATTCTGTAATAAGCTCTGAGAAAAAAAGAAGCACAGATGAACAAAACGAAAAGCCTTCCCAGAGGAAGCTGCTGGGAAGCCGTTACAAACATTATAAACACATTATTTCACACTGAGGGTAAAAAAGTTTGAGATGATGCCCTTGGAAGCAATAGCCATGCAGTATGGTAAACCAGAGGATAACCTAAGAAGGATCATGGCAGTTCCCAGCCTTTAATAAGCACGAGCAGAGATTGGACTACCTCTTCATTAGCCACTTACTGTTCTGTTTTACAGACAAAGGAAACAGTTCTAGGGAAACTGTACAAACATGATGTCTGATTTATGAAAATCTCATGCCCTCCCTTCACATGAGAACACCACGTCACACTCCCTATACAGACAGAAGTTTTCCTGTTCATTCCATTCTCCAGGCATTGGGCTACAAAATGCCTTTCTTTATCAAGTCTATCAGAAGACTCCATTATAAACCATGGAACATGAGGATTTCATCCTGCCATTGTGTGTGATGATGCATTACTTCATTACAGATTACTGGTACCAGATACAACGACCACGTTACCTCCTTGCCCCTAAATATTGAATTAGTTCCACTTAAACACAGCTTACATCAAAATACTAACAAAACACACTTCATCTCTACCAAAAAAAAAAAAAAAAAGACACTCTCTCTTCTCTCTCGATATATTTCCTGACAAAATGAGCATGCATTTTATCTTGACAAGCAAAATCACTGTCACTAAGAGTAACAAAGATGTTACACAGCTCAAAGATCTTAAAAGCTGTATTTAAAGCTAAGAATCAAGAAATTCTAAAAGAAGAAAAATCTACACAGAAAAAAATACAAACCTCTGGATTCTGATGTTCAAGTAAATTCTGTTACAACAGCAATGAAAATACAAGCAATGCTGTCACTCTACTTTCCTTCCATTAATCCCTCCTCAACTTAGGAAAGTACCAGTTGTGAGTACTCAGGGAAGCAAAGCAAGACCTCTCAATTTTATCCAGGCATTTATCCTCTGAACACGATTTCCCTTGCAGCACAGACCTCGCGTGACCTATCGATGTGGCTATTCAAGTTTCAGAATGATTTTCCTTGTCTTAACAAAATGGAAGCAAATAAAAACCACAAAGGGAACCCAAAGACCAGTAAATCTCATCAATCAAAACTATTACCTTGCATTGCCTGCAACTCATAGACTGTACCTGTTGAAAAGTAGCATTTTTTGTACATTCAAACTACAGTCAGTCATTGAACAGATAACATTCATAACTGCTTTAAGAGCTGTGGCTTATTGAGTCATAACACTGAGCTTATTGTCACAAAGCTGGCTCTGCTTCAGCAGATACTTTATTATCTTCTACAATTCTCCTCATCATATTTTTGTTACGATATGGTACCAAGACATTATTCACTATTGCTAAGGTTGATGCAACAGCTCAGCTTGTGTAAAAGAGTGTGACAGCACACTAGGGAGCAGCATTCCTGAGTGCTGTAAGAGCTCCCATCAGTTTGGAAGACCATCAGATTTTATAGATCATATCACAGAATTTTAGGCACAAACTGCACCAGTATTTCTCATTTCAGTAGTTCCACCAGTCAGCAGTGCTGTCTACAACACAACTGCAGGTCAGTGCTTCAGCCATTAAATATTCAAGAGGTGATGAGCTCATTTCACAGCTGCAGTTACTGGCATCACTGCAAGGACCTGGCAGTCCCACCTGCTTTTCCTGGGCCTGAATATGCTCCGACTACAAGATGGGAATGTTCACTTCCAAGGCTGCAGACAAGGAAAGGTTTAAAGGTCATTAGTCCAAGGATATTAATTGTGAAATAAAGGAGTAGAGAGCAGAAGAATCAGCAACTGCTCAACCCAAATAGTGGCATTACCTCCACAAGGGATGCAAGAGGAAAAAGCAAATCAGACCCTATTTGCCAATCCCTTGCCAATGATATGCAGCATACTGTTCTCAAACACCAATTCTAGGGACAACCTTCAGAAGGTCACCTACTAGAGTTAGGGCAGTATGGTTAAGTTGCAGTTGGACTTAATGATCTCTAAGGACTTTTCCTAACAGAGCAATTCTATGATTCTGGTCTCACCTCTGCTCTCAGACCCACAGTTTCTGGCAGTGATTTCAGCAAAGTCCTTCTCCAGCCTCACACAGGGAATGATTTCAGCTTTCGACAACTTCAGTGATGCACACTCACAAGGAGAAAGGTTCTGTTTTTAGAAAACACTCTCAGTTTCATGGTTATTTAAGTAAAACCATTGAGAAGCACCATGGATACTGAAGTGAATAGAGAAAAACATCCTAGAAAATAAAGGGGCCAGGAAACCTGAATAGCTTTGGAATAAGGTGATCTTTGCAAAACTTTATGTAGCCTTGGGCCAACAGAATACAAACATTAGCTGACAGAATATCAGGAACAAATTGCCTCAGTGACACCAAACCTTCAGAGCTGAGTGTGGATGACTCATTGGTAACTGGAAGCCACATACCAGCACTGTGCCTTGCATAGTATCCTTGGTACTTTGCTGCAGAGACACCCACCAGAACATGTTCACCATGAATTCTGCTCTCACTTGTACCAATTTATGGCAATAATGCCTATCTGCTACATGAAAATAACTGCCCAGCACTTTGTCTTTTGGGAGCGACACTGCTGTGTTCTTCTATTTCACCAGGCACATCCAGAGAGTACTGCCGAGTGCTTTGCCTAAAGAACTGCTGTTGCTCTGAAGCAGAGTTGGCACGAGCCTATTTGCTCCTCTGCTGCCTAACAGTACCTTTGAGATCAATAATTGATGAAATTAAAACCAGATCACTCTCCTGATTTACTACATTAGAAGTGTTACTGGACATCAAATATTGATGAGAATTAGAGCTCCTTACAGACAGAGATGCTTCATCAGCACAGTGCTGGCCAGCCCCGCGTCCCCAGGGTCTCTCAAAGCAGACACATCCAGGTACAACTGAGGCTTCACTCCATGTTTGTTTACGCTGATGTAAAAAGGCACAGCGTGAAAGCAATGCAAGACAGCAAATGCAGAAAGCGGAGCTCTGCAGGAAGAGTTTGGTTTGGCATCAATTGCTTCTTTCTGCAACCTGAGGCTTAGAGCAACCTGAACCTTAAAGCAAGTCCAAAGGGGAAAAACACTATGAAAAAAGTAGGCTTGTGTCAGAAAATAAATATCACTCGTTTCAATCAGATATTTGTTATAGTTCAAGAGCAACACCTGTTTATAGTATGAAACAGAATGGGTGGAATCCCACTGACACCTCCCAGCAGGGACGCATGCAACAGCCTCAGCACCTTCCAAAACCAGCATCTCTATGTTCAGAAGAAACATAAACATGAAGAATGTAAAGCAATGGCTTTTACATGAACTGTTCAGTTGTTTTTGTATTGTAAAGTCAATAATAAATAAAGTCAATAATAAATTGTGCATCAAAGAAGGAAATCAACCCTGGAGGCAATGCAATGCAAGAGACCCAAACCACAAATCCTCACCACCATATATATTTGTTTACAAAAGCAAGATAAAGCCTCATCCCAGAATGTTAAATACATTTACACAGCATTTTGGTTCACTTAAAATTAAAAAAAAAAAGTTTATCTAGTGACAACTGGCCATTTACAAGTGCTATACTTAGCCAAAAAAACCTCTCTGTCTCAGTGTGCTTTATTTAAAATGGGAGAATGTCAACTTGTGAATAAGACTCCCTGTCCCATTTCTTCAAATTAAGCACAAACTCCCTTTTTTTTTTTGTTTTGTTTTGTTTAATTGTATTTCCAAATCAGCTTGGTCTCATGACTAAGGAACCTCAGCTTAAGGCACTACAGAGCATGGACTGAGATGCAAATTTTCTTTAGCAATTGAGATGTAAAACAGGTTCATCTAAGTCTCCTGTGAGTAGGATTTCATCTCTATTTACAATGTACATTCTGGCCAGTGCTTATGACTCAGGTGAGACAATGGCAGCTTATTAAACAAAGGTGTGTATTCAGGGCCATATGTAAATGTACTTGTGGCAATAAAGATATCCTTGAAAACTGGGAAATTACAAACTTTCTGTAAAAAAGACAAACACTGGTCTCCTTGGTAGGTCCAGTGGCAAGTCTGACGTACATCAGCTCCTCCTCTTCTTCACTTCTGCACAGCTAAAGGCTACAGAACATGAATAGATGTCAGTTCAATATGCAATCAGAGCTAAATAGAGAGGTGAGTAAAACTCCTGAACATCTAGGCAGTGCAGCACCTTCTGCGGAGACCAAGCAAAATGACCTTCAGTGCCAACCCTTCTGTCCCCAAGGCAGCAGCACAGCCACACCGCAGCGCTGCCTGCTCCTCCCAGTGCCAGCAGAGCTGCCATACTTGCTCTTCACCAGCAAGACAGTGGGACACACTACTACAGACCTCTGTGGCAACTTGAAAACTGCCCAAAGCGCAAGCTGCACCTCTCCAGCCTCACACCCAACTCCACAGCACAGACCTTGAAGTTCCAAAGAACAAACATCGCCTCTGTCACATACTGAGCCTACTTACAGTGCAAAGCTTCCCAAGCTTCCTCTCCTGCCCTGCTATTCCTATTAAAACGAATTCCTATAAGATCACCAAGTACCATTTTTAATTGACCCAATAGGAAGTTCTGTGTGAGGCAAGGTCCCTGCTGCTGATACTCACCATGCTAAAGTGTTCTTTAACATAATGCCCTTTGACAGATAAAGTCAATTTCCTCATAGAGCATATACAAGCCTAGCTCTGTCTCCAGCCTCCTCTGCCAGCACGCTAGCTAGCAGTGACACAGACAACAGGCTGCTTTCTACAAGCAGGAATAGCATCAAGAACCTTCTGCAGATTCAGGATAGCAGTAATTGCTGCCGGAAATCTAGGACTCGAAGAGTCAGGATTTTTCCCAACATTTGAAATCTCCCTTTTTTCAAGCACAGCACATTCAGTGAGCAGGGAAGATTATTCCCAACCATGTGCTTTACCAGTAAGTGTCTCTCCTCTCACAGCTGTGCTGTACACTGGAGCAGAAAGGAAAAAGCTAAAGCATGTCACTGAAAGACTGGTATTTTGTAACATCATATATAATTACTCCAGAATACCTGCCTTCTAGCTAAGGTCCTATAACCAAACAATATATATAACTGAAACAATGTCTTCATGACCAACCTCCTCGATCTCACTAGACCTTGTGTACAGCATGTGCATTCGCAGCAGCAGTTTTCTGTCACTGTAACTGCGCTTTGTCACACACACCATTTTGTTTAACTGTATCCTTACAAATACACCCTAGAAGGACTAAGCAGACCTCCTGTAGTGGCTCTGCAGAAACAGAAGGACTGGAGGAAGTGGCCACACAGCTGCACTGCAGGCAGAAGATTCTGTGACAGCACAGTGCACGTGAAATATCAGGAAGTAGAAGCAGTCAAACAGGTTACAGTATCCGCACCCTTAGGTGAGGTCTAAGGAGGAAAAGAGAATGAAATATAAAACTAAGCAGGTGTATAAAAGCAGAGAGGACCAAGGCTAAGCGAAACCAGCACAAAGTATCCATCTCTATCCACGCTAACCAACTAGTAAACTACACTGCGCGTGGACACAAACCACAGGAGCTAGCCATCACCAAAAGATGACAAACTGACCCTGTTGTACCAGTCCAAAGGGATACACAAACAAATCTAAGCGTGGATTTCTTTATAAGCCCATGCTAACACATCAAACCCTGCCTTCCTCTTTTACTCGGTCTGCACCTTCTGCTTCTGGTTGTGCCCTCAATACTCACTTGCTCCCTCCTCAAAGTCTTCCTTACTGAGCATATTCTTGTATCACTGGAAATCCATTGCAGCCGTCCCTCAGCCAGCACATCAGTGCAGTCCCAGCCATGCAGTACTCTGCACCCTCCTCCCCATGCTATGTCGAGGCACTGCCCCTCTCCTCCCACAGGGCTCCATTTCCCAGTCCCTCTCACCCTGTGCCGCATCAGCTGGAAAACACTGCTCACAAGAACAGCAAAAGGCTCTCGCTGGCACTCTCCTAGGTGATGGCATAGCATAATAGCTGTTCATTGCTTTTTTTCTGAAGTAAGCACTAATTATCTGAGTCACACACAGTACTAAGAAATTAAAATCAGGCACAGCAATTTATGCTAGTTTATACCTAGGAGGTTTGAATATTTTCATATCTGCAAACACAAATCTAACTCTGTTATTTTCCAATTCTTCTGCTAACCCTTGTTATTTACCAATTTAATTCAGGAACATCTTACTTTTGCTTCTGTTCACTAAAAAGTAACCTGTGCAAATAAAAGCTGTATGAACCTCATATAAATAGAAAAGCTATAGAAACAAAACATGCAACACCATCCTGGAAGGCATACCAAAGGAACTATCCCACTTGGGTGTTCTTCCCATGCTGCTATATGCTTGCAAGGTCAGGAGAACAGTGACAAACTTCTCATTCTTTCATTTTTGTTGCAGTTCTTGGGTGAATCTTACCACACTGCCTGACAACCTTTGTATCGCTTCAGCTTGCTTTGGTTTCCAAAGACACAGGACAGAGAACAGCCAACCCAGATTGGTGACCAGAGCTGAAAGACATCATCCTTTGTTGTAAGCCGAAGCCTGACATTATCTACTATAACATTACGATATTCCTAGCATGGAATCTGGGATCATGCAGTTATTTCTTTTTACATGTTCCTTGCCCCCTGTAAGTGGTTCACATGCCAATGAAACTCCTCTGGTGGGAAGGGCTATTTCTACCTGTGGAATTTGTCAGTCAGACGATTAGATGTTATTACATTGTTGGGAAGAATTAATAAATGCTTCAATAAGACAATAATGCATCACGTTCAGTACAGCTTACACTATGACGACGCAATTAGAGAGAATGTGAAGATGCAACTCATACTCACGAACCCAGAGACGCAATTCATTCGTAACACTTTAAAACCACGCTGGCCACGAGCCAGCAGTGCACCCTTGTGGCCATATGGCCAGCAGTACCCCGGGGTGCAATATCTAAAGGGCAGGAGTCAAAGGGATGGGGCCAGGTTCTTTTCAGTAGCATGCAGTGACAAGATAACGGGTAATGGGTAAAACCAGATCAGGGGAAGTTGGACTGGGAGATCCCCATAAGTTCCTTCCAACTCCTTAGGTTCTGTGACACCCCAACGTGACTCCACGTCCCTGTGCCATTTCTTCTCCCAGCTGGGGTGCCAGAGGACGTTATGCCACTGACGATAACCAAACCTGGACACTCCGGTCTGCACCTACAGTTCTCATGAAATAAAGCCCGTTACAGCGAGCCTGTCGCGGTGTCAGTGCCGCCTCCCGTTTGGCCGAGCCCAGAGCTTCAGCTCTGCCACCTCACCACCTTGCTGGGGTGCACGCGAAGAGTAAGGAAAGCAATTTTTTTTAAATTTATACTAAAAAAAAGGGGGGGGGAGGGGGAAGAGGGGGATGGGAAGAAGAAAACAACACCCGAGGCACCTCGCCGCGGTGGATCGGCCCACGCTCGGCCACCGCAGCACCGCCCGCCCCGCGCAGTACCTGCCAGCCCGCCACCGCCCTCCTCGCCGTAACCCCGCCGCCTCTGCAGCACGAAGTACTGGTTGGAGCGCTCCAGCACCCATAGCTTGAGGGCATTTTTCAGCAACACCTCCTCGGGCTTCAGCCACATCTCGGCGGCTTCACCGCCCTCCGCCGCCACCGCCGCCCATACCCGCCGCCGCCTCCCGCTCCCACGTACGCGGCCCGGCTGCCAAGCGCCGCCGCCGCCCCGAGGCACGCTGGGAGACGTAGTCCCGGCGGGAGTCCTCCACGCCTCAGGCCTACAGCTCCCGGCGTGCTCTGCGCGGCCGCCGGCTCTGAGGCGAGGCGGGAAGTGGCGCTTCGCTTGCCGCCCCTGCGGGGTGCAGCCAGCCGGGCGTCGGTCTCGGCCGTGAAAATCTCCTCACAAAGGGATTTTTGTTTTGCCCCCCCTCGTGGCAGCCAGAGAGGTGCGGCTAAGTTTGGCCAAACATCAAGCATTCATCACCGAAGAACGCTGCTTTGTTTGGTGTTGACGCTTGTTTTCTAGTCTCCCAAGCCTGATGTGCCTTGAGGCAGGCTGGGGCACAGAAAGAAACACCCGAACGCCTGGCCGTGTCACATTGCCCACGCACGTCAGTCAGCTCAACCTGCTTGTCAGCCCCGAGCAGGGGAGCAGCAGACATATTGCCACCTACTTACACTTCATGATATACGATGATGCACTGCCTCCTTGCCTCTATCACCCAATGAAATTACGAGCTCACTTGGAGCAGCGTGGATGTTTTGGGTTTCTTAACAACAGTTTGACTCGGGCTTTGTGCCTTTGTGTGTCTGCAAGAACTTGGTCATTTGTCCCCATAAAGTAGCTCTTCAGATCATCTACACATCAACTAGCACTATTTTTTTAGGCTATAATAAAACAATCAAGCCCGGTAGTGAGTGAAACAACAGCCTTCACACTCAGACTGTACATGGCAACCTGCCCATATTACTGTCTGCTGCTGCTGACTACCCTCATGAGCTGATCTCTCAGAGCTAGCTGTCCTGTGGGAAAGCAGTAAGAGGAAACATTTAAAAGTCCTGCACTGGAAACACTCCACCACACACACCTGACAGCTGAGGGTTTCTTGGGGCCGTGGGTCAGCACAGTGTGACTCCCAGCTCCACAGGAGGGCCACAACCACATCCATCCAGCTGCTCAGTCGTCAACACCTAGTGCTCTCTCCCAGTATTTATTCTCAAGTCTCTTCATTACCTTGCCAGAAGAAACTAGAGGTCTCGCCTTCTGTCATTACACACTGCTTTCCAAATGTATCTTCTGGTGCTGACCAAAACCAAACAGATAAGCTTGAGGGCATGGAAGCCCATTGCCTCTGCAAGAGGTCTCTATGACTTCTCCTAATGATATACTAGGAATGTGAAAGCCTCACTCCTGGCCTTCACTCCTCATACAGTCTGTCACTTGGAACAAAGTGGGACTTGCCCATTTCCCAGAAACTTCTCTACAGTTTTCTGTTCTGTCAGATCAGTCCCTTAGCACAGTGATTTCTAGCATCAATGACCTTCCTAAAATTTTCCCAAAATAAAGCGTTATTGATTGTGTATCTTATCAGTATGCATTTAAACTCTTCTTTAAGCTATTTTTATAAGGAAGTTGTGCACATTGTGCACTAGTGATAGACTTCAAACTCGGCACTTCTTCACTTTATCCACTCTTTCCAGCATTCCCCAGGGCACCACTTCCTGCAGCGTTTCTGCCAGCCATTAATCTATCTGTGAGTACAGACAACACGAAACGTTCCAGGCCCTGACCTAAAGGTATTTGGCAATGCCTGTCCACTTCCAGACACATATGGAAGCTTTTACCTAGCAGCACCAGTTTAGTTCATGAGAAGTTTTGAAAGCTGGATGAAATGCTCTGGTATAAGGTTTTTATTCCAGTCACTCATTCTATCATAACCAGAGAAGCTCTGCTATTACCTTTCAAACCAAATATAGATTGAATTCAAGCTGCTATTCATTTTACCTATTTTTATTACAAAGTAGGAAGCAACACATTTCTGGTACTTTACATTTACTAGAGCCGAAAAAGAAATGGTAAACTGAGAAACATGGTAACTGACCCAGACAAAACATTAATGAGACAAGACAAACAACTACAGTACATCAGCAGATTCTCCATGTGGCAGTCTCTACAGTCCATCCACCTGAAGTAACAGATATCAGTGAGCCCCTGTGGACAAGCTGTTGCTGTGGCAGCTGCTGGAGATTGACCAGAGCTGACAGCAATTCCTGCTCAGATGCTGTTCTTCTAAGAGCACTCCCAAAGGGAGTGTTTACCATTTAATTTTCCCCAATTAGCCCAGCCCTTGAATATGAAACACTTACTTAGGATCTAATACAGGCAGTCTAATGCTGATGCTAATTGCAGGGAAAGACGCCCTTGGCATTTCCTACCCAGATCTCGGCTTCTGGCATCTCGCGCAGGCTGGACATGTTAGGACATAAGTTGTGTTCTAGTGCAAGATTCAAACTTTGTTATTTGGATTATAAAAAAGTAACAACAAAAACATCTTTGTTTTCCCTTCTGTTGTTACAAGGTCCTGAATGCCTTCCTTTCTTCTGATTCCTTCAGGCACTGGTTCCTAACAGCCAAATACTATTAAGATGCAGAGTGCAGAGGAATTTATTTATAGATACTTAAATTCTTTCTTAATCAGCGCACAATCATCCTACAGTCTAATCAATGCATTCCAAGCAAGAGAGATCCATTTATGCCGCAGAATTTTTCTTTCACTGCACTAATGACCTCCCGGAAATGGTAAATGATTTTCCTCAAATAACCACAGCCAAGTGTATATAAATAGATAAACAGCTGTATAAACACTTTGGCTTCACTTTGTATAACCAACAGTTTAACAACCAGTGCGGAGAATTACGTAGCTGTTAATTCACAGTGGGTGAACATCACAATTTGGTTTCAAGTTTCCCTTAGAGCTAAAATTAAATTGTCAAAGTAGATTTAATCTACTCCAAAATGTCAGCCATTATGCCCCTGGGGGAGTTGAACACTATTCAAATCTGCACAGGGAAAACATCCATTTAAACCTGGGTGAAAACAGACTAGTGCAGAAGCTAGCCCTCTTGTTAAACACTGAATAAAATTCATTAAATCACACAGCCAACGTATGAGTAGGCATTTATGCTGTCCAATTGCTAGCCCCCTTGACAGCTACAGATCTTTCTGTCCAGAGATTGAGACGGACAAAGTCTGTCAATTTTATAGGAAATCCAGCTGTCCTCTTGACTCATGTTGCATTTATACGCTTGTGGTCCCTCATCACAAGGCTTGCCTTTCCCTTATCTGCAAAATCTCAGTTACAACTACATTTCCACATTTCTAGAGTGACACCTGAAAATTTTCCTTGATATGAGAAAAAATTACATTTCAAATTTTGAATTTACAGTAAAATCCCATCCATGCAAAGTCTGGTTTACAAGAAAGCACAGTAATACAGCACCTGATAGCAGGGCAGCAGGGCTTACTCTCCCACAGAGAGGGAAGGTTTTCCCAGCCTCCCTTTGAAAATATGCAGATCTTTACATGTCTAAAACAGAGGGGTTTTTTTTGTTGTTTTTTTGTTGTTGGTTTTTTTTTCCCCCCCCCCCGGCCCGCCCCCCCCCCCGAGAAATAAATGACAGCAGTAAGCAAACATGGGAGGTGATACCTGAATCTGTTTCTGCTTCCTCTCTGGGGCAGAACAACTGAGATGTCTATAGGACTGGATGAAAACAGTAACGGAGTCAAAAAGATGCATTTGCTTTAACAACCATTACCTCTTGTGGCCACATAATTTCCAGCATCTTACACGGAAGCATTGGTATGTACAGTGAAAATCAAAGCTATTCACAATAACAACAAGCTTACATGGCCCTTCAGGAACAATCCTATCCCCAGACATGTTGCTTGCATTTTGCTTTAAGGAAAGAGTCTATTATGTCATAAAACACATGCCTATATGTATACATACACAGAGCTGCAGCATCAGAAAAGATCAGTTGCACAGTACTTCAAAGGCAGGGTCAGCTAAAGACAACTGCAATGCATGGGAACTTTGAAATACGAAGTTAAAGAGTAGCTTTGGAAAATCTTTAAAGAAGAAGTGACTGTAACAAAGGGAAAAAAGGGAAAAACCTCTGCAGAATTCGGCAAAATGAGAAAAAGCTTTCTCAGGAAACAGCAGCATCCCTGAGCTCCTGTGTGAAATTCACATGCTTTCATTGCCAGTGCTTACAAACATTGTATACAGACTCTTCTTTAAGATGCAAAACCAGAAAAACATTAAATTCTTTTCCCTGGCAACTCAAATACTGTCCCAGTACAAGCACTGCATTTATTCCCTGAACAGTACTTTACATTTGATACAATAATCTTATAAACGTTTCTAAAAATTAGCATAGGTTCTTTGAGCACTGAGTAGGTTCACATTTTTACAGAAAACATTTACTGCATCTCATTCTATCTCAGCATCATTGAGCTGACTGAACGGTGTTCATTCTTCGGTACTCCACTAGCTCTTTGAGAAAATGCTCTGCCCCCACCTTACCCTTTCATGTACCATTAGAAACACCAAGACTAGAAAAAACTGCAGTTGTCTTGCTTAGAAGACAGTAAATAGAAAGGCTTGAATCCTATCAACATAACAAAAAATGCCAAAGCAACTTTCAATGCATTGAGTTTGAGGGAGATCAACTTTTGTTCCCGTTAAACACGAAGTCTGGCGGATGATTTCACAAAACTATTACCACAAAATTCTACTATGTTACAGCTTACACACCACAAATGTATAAAGCTGCTAGACATGAAATTGAAGTGTTTGGAGGAGTGTGCTTACCTCTTGGCAGCTCCCTTCTCTGCTCTACGCTTCAGGTGCAGAATAGAAAGATAATCACAGCTACAAGCAAGATAAAGCTTCAGCAAGAAATCAGATTATATTCCGATTCACACTTTGAGCCCATAACCAACCAATGCTTCCTGGACTTGATTTGGAGATCTGCAATAGAGAGTCGTGGCCAACTCCATCGGGTCACGTTTCTGTACTTCCATAGTCAGTCAGCAGTACAAGGCTGTACCTACTGCCAAATTAGGTACAGTTAAAGAGTTGTCAAATCCTCTAACATCATATTAAAAAA